ACACGCTCATCTTGGTACCCCCAGCTTGGCTGCATCTGCCCGAGCGAGCCGGGTCTCACTTCCAGTTGGCAGCCTCCATTTCCTACTGGCAGCCTCGACCACTCGCGGGAGCAGCAGCAGAAGCCTCGGGCAGCTCATCCTGGGGACACTTAGCTGCCACGTCTCATGGGACGCAGTGAACCTTCCTCAGAGGGAACGTCTCAGCTCAGGTCTCTGTTACTGCACGTGCTTGGGAAGGCTGGTGAAGTTCCACTAGCAGAGTGGAGGCGGCCATGTGGGGCTCCTGCGTCCAACAGCACTGCTGGCGGCTGAGCCCTCGGTGGAAAGGGCTGAGCGCTGGTGTTCATGGCAGTCTGTCAATATTAAATTAAGGCTAAATTCCCATCCTAAATGTTATGTTAACATGAAGTTACAGCGGAGAGCGCAGAGCGCAGAACAGCAATATGAGGGTAAGATGTGTTCCGGGGGTATTGTAATCATCCCAAATGAGGCATTTGAAACCCAGGGAGTTCCAGATTTAGGGTTTGCATCGTTTCTGTTTTTGTAATTGAAAAACAGTCCAAACATAGGAAGGCTTAGGAGCGTGTTGCTGAGATTGTTTGGGTGCCTTTATTCTGCGCTGCGGGGACATGGGCAGATGGAGGAAAAAGGTCTTTAAAAAATGATGGAACCAAATCTGGAATTACAAATGTGAAAATAGCGTGATCTGGATTTTATTGTTAGCGTGTTGTGGCTCTCCAAGGTAACATTAGGGTTGTTGGGTCTTGACTGTGCATTTCTGTATCAGGACATGTTTGGCTATTGCTAATGCAACTCACCTCTAATGCTTCACAAAGCTCATAATTTGAGACAATTGCAAATCCTGGAGCATAATTTTATTTGTGTTATGGATGTGTACTTGGAACTTTAATTCTGTCATAACAGACTTTTTTTCCCTGTTTTTTAAGAGCTGCTAAAGAAGCCACGAGTGAGGATTAGAATATCATAATAACCGAACTCCAGAGGGCTGTAGGAAGAAGCATGTTTCAGTTATGGACTCTTTGTCCTGGTGACCCACGGATCCACAAGGGTGGGAGGTGGGTGGTGAATTCAGCCCTGATTTTGCGATACCTGGTGCTGTGAGAACCCTCAGCTGAGACATCTGGGAGAAGCCGTGCCCAGGGCAATGCATGGCCATGGCTCTGGCAGAGCATGGAGTCAGGGAAGCCCCAGGGCTGCGGTGTGTGTCCTCCTGCAGAGGGAGAGCAATGGCTGGGCAGTGAAATGGCTCTTCTGGGAGTCACGGTTGCTATCAAAGCTGCCTGTAGCTTCCAGGCGTGCCAATGAGATATGACAGTCATTAATAATTTGGCTTCATCCTAACATGTGTCATCCAAAGGAACCTGGGCAGATGATGTAGGCTGGATATCTTGCCTTCCAGCAGCGCTGCACACAGCAGTGGAGTCTGAAGCAGCTCCAGAGCCCACGCAAGAACGCAGCGACTGCAGCGTGCTGTGGGGGCCCAGTCTCATTGCACCCTGCAGTGCTGCAAGGCAGAGTTCAGTGTTGTGCTGAAGCACTGCAGAGAATGTTGGATGAATGATGGCTTTTTTCTGGAGCTGGGGCAGTGACGGCAGCGCTGGCAGTGGTTCAGTAGCAGCAGAGCTCGGGGTGTCAGAACACCTCGCCTGCCTCCCTCTATGCTTCTTTTGCTCCTGTGTTGTGTTTCACAGGCCTCAGCCCCTGTTTTGGTGATAGAACACCAGTGTAGGTCTTCTGCCCAGGTCTTGGGTGTTGCAGTGGGCGCAGCCACTCCTTGCTGCTGAACCTCCCCCCCCCTCCCCCATCTGGAACTGCTGCTTGTCTGCAGGCTGTGGAGCACGTCTGCTTTCCCAGCCTTGCTGCTCAGGCAGAGTGGATGCAGCAACATGATTTTCTGGGTTGAGTGTTTCTTATTATGCCTGTCAGACACTGATTTCTGAGCCTGTTGTGTTCCCTGGGCATACCAGGAGGGCAGGCACAGCACAGGCCCATTTCCTTAATGACCGGCAGTGAATTGCCTGCACATGTGCAGTGCAGATTTGAGACGCCCTCCATGTATTTTTTTTTTTTCTCTGCGGATTTTCCCCGTTGGATGAGGTGTTCTCCATTTGTGGAGTCCCTGCCCAGCTGAGCCTTTAACAGAGCGTCTTCCTTCCATCTGCACACAGCCCTTATTTTGTGCTCCAATTATTCCAAGGCAGCTCCCACTCCCCTCCGAGCTTTGGAGAGATTTACCAGGTGGGCACCTGAGGATGTTCTGGGGCAAAATGGAGGTGCCCTGTCGCTGCTGCCATCCCTGTCAGGGTAAGGAGATGTGGCTGAGATAAGGCCAGCAGCCTCTGCTCCCCTCCCCACGCAGTGCCCTCAGCAGTGCACAGGCACCCGGTGAGGCCAGGATGTGGCCTCTCACCAATGCTGGGAGCTCATGGGTGAATGTGGCACATGGAAGGGAGCTGGGGGGAGGCGGGGAGGCCCTTACATAAGCCCTGCATGCAGCAGGAGGAGCAGGGAGGGGAAGGGCAGTGCGCTGAGAATCCAGGCAGCCTCCAGCGAGGGCTCCCCAGGAGCAGCTCTGTGCTGACTCCCTGGCCTTGGCCATCTACCCATTATCCGTGTCCCCCACCGCCCTGCCTGGGGTGACGTGGAGGGGCTGCAGGACTGAAGCAGTGGCATGGAGGGAATGTGGCCCTGGGGCACTCTGGCTGTCGCTGTCTTGCTCACCCTGCACTTTGCACTGTGGTGCTGGGAATCCCTTGGTGGAATGGATGGGCTCCATGTGTGCAGATGGGTGCCGTCTGTGTGTCTGCACGTGCTTGGGGCATATTGGCAGCTCCGTCTCCCGGAGCACCTTGGATGTTCCCCTGCATCTCAGCCATGGTTCTCACCTGGGGAGGTAAGCGCTGGCTCCTTCCCTAAAGCAGGACAGGGGCTTCTGAACAGGGTATTACTTTGTGTCCAGGTAAGATTGGGTGCCCACAGCTCTTCCACCCTTTCCAAGATGTCTGCTGTTAATTCCCTCCATCTCTCCACAGCATCAGCAATCCCTGCCAAGTCGGGCCATTTGAAGGGGGACCACAGCAGGCAGCTTGCAGGCTCTGAGAAGCAGTGACAAGTCTCTCCAGATCAGCGTCCCTGAGTCGCTGGGTTCTCCTGCCCCACGGATTTGGCTGTTCCTTCTGGACAAACCGGAGGCTTGCTGTCATGGGGATGCACTGAACCCTCACCCCAGGAGCTTCAGGCCTGGATGTTGGTGCTGCACCTCCCAGACGATGTGGCTGATACTCTGGAGAAGCCCTCTCTTGCCCCCTGTTCTCCAAGTGCCTGAGCTGGTGGCCAGCTGGGACCTGCGTCTCGCCCTCTGGGTCCTGAGCTTTGCCTCGGTGGTTGTGCGCATGGAGGGCCAGGTCTACTCTCCCACTGTCAACACTCACTATGGGAAGCTACGGGGGGTGCGTGTGCCACTACCCAGTGAGATTTTGGGACCCGTGGATCAGTACCTGGGGGTGCCTTACGCCGCCCCCCCAGTTGGGGAGAAGCGGTTCATGCCTCCAGAGCCACCTCCCTCCTGGTCAGGCATCAGGAACGCTACCCACTTCTCGCCAGTCTGCCCCCAGAACATCCACAACGCCGTCCCTGAGATCATGCTGCCCATCTGGTTTACCTCCAACTTGGATATTGTGGCCACCTACATCCAGGACCCCAACGAGGACTGTCTGTACCTCAACATCTACATCCCCACGGAGGATGGTGAGTCCCCGGTGGGGCACCTGCAGGAGCGAGCGCTCTGGGAGGGTAAGGGGGGCTGCCCTGCCCCTATCCCTGCCCAGCAGCGGTTGGTCTCACTTGGGTGTTGTGTTTGAAGCATGTGGTTGTGGACCCTGCAGCATGCTGTCTGTTTGTGGAAAGCTTCCTCTGGCCACTCAGCTTGCCCTCAGCTGCCATCTTTGTCTCGCGTGCTCCTGCCCCTCCACGCCTCTCGGTTTCCCCTTCTTTCTTCCTCCACCTCCATGGCATTGTCACGGGTTCCTTTCTTGTGTTGCTAAATCTGAATCAGACTCTCTGACTGCAGATCCACAGAGTGACAAGCTGGTTTGTGCTCCCCAGGCGCCGAGTGCCAGGTTCTGTCTTGAGTTGGTTCGGGTTTGTCCTTCCTCCCTTTTCCCACCCCCAGGTCCATGTGCTAGCCGTGGCCACAGGCTGTGGCCGCTGCTGGGAGGAACACTCTGCCTCTCGTGGGGCTGGGCTGCTCATGCCAAGAAGGGAACACAGAGCCCTTTTTGGTGGCACAGGAGCCCTTTCTGGGGGATTCTGGTGCAGGCAGGAGGCTGGGGGACATTGCAAAGTAGCTGCGGCCTAGTGTGTCACGGCTAGGCCTAGTGCAGTGTGCTGCAGCCTAGTGCAGTGTGCTGAGGCCTAGCATAGTGTGCTGAGGCCTTGTGCAGTGTATTGTGGCCTAGCGCAGTGTGCCGAGGCCTAGCGCAGGGTGCCACAGCCTAGAGCAGGCCTGGTCCTGCGGTGGTGAGGCCGAGCGGCACTGCCTGCCTCCTGTCTAATCTTTTCCTCCACAGGACATCCCACCTGAACCGTAAGTAGAGGGCAGAGGAGGCAACGCTCTGCCCATGCGCCTGCCATAGCCTCACCACCGCGGGAGCCCTGGGGGGAGCAGGGCAGGACGCTCAGAGCAGGCCCTGCCTCACCGGCTCCACTCCTCCATCCCGGGGGGTCTCAGCTGCACCTTCCCAGCATGGCAGGCCCAGAGTTTTCCTCCCACAGCGCCGCTCCCCACCCACCTCCTGCGGTCCCCGGGGCGGCGGGGGGGTGGCAGCGTGGTTGTGATTGCATGCCCACTCCCAGCCGGTGGAGCCTCCTGTTATTTTGTAGTCTTTTATTCATTTTACAGTAAAACGGATTTCCAAGGAATGCACCCGAAAGCCCAACAAGAAAATATGTAGGAAAGGAGGTATGTAGCAAGCCGACCGGCAGAGAGGCACAGAGAGGAAAGAGAGAGAGAGTGAGAGAGTGCGAGGGTGCCTGTCGGTTCTCTCTGGCCCCGCGGCGTGCTCCTCTCTGTGCTGCAGCTGCCCACGGGCCCCAAGCAGCCCTGACCACTGCTGCCCGCTTCCCACTTGCCTCCACCCGGGGCTGCAGATGGGCTCGGGGTCAGGGCAGAGCAGGATGCTCCCTTTGCTCCAGGCCTTTCAGAACAGCTGAGCCCACACTCCCCAGGCTTCTGGGCATGAAGAGCTCCTGAAGAGACCTCTTCCCTTAGGGCTGGAGCGGCTGTGTCTCTCACCTCTTTGCCCAGAGGTGGCAAGTACCTTCCTCCCATCCCCAGATTCTGACCCACTCAGGGGAGCATCTGGGTTTAGAAGGAGATCGAGCTCTTCTCCCTTTGCATGCATGGTCAGCTGCAGCCAGAGCTCTGCCGTTAGAGTATCACTCCTCACCTGACCAGGTAATGGCTGCCATGTTCTTTCCCAGTCTCTTCTCTGCCCTTGGCTGTGCTGATGGGGCTACTTACATGCATACATACATACACACGTGCACATGCTCACAGACGGGGCTGTGCAAGCTCAGGATCTGCTCTCCACCCCCTCACATTGCACTCTTCCTGAGCTGCAGCCTCCCAGAGGTGGCAGAGCATTTCCAGAGCAGACACAGCTCTGCTTTGTCTCACTGCTGTCTCCAGGGCCATGCAGGGCTCCTCCTGCTGCACTGCAGCTTGGGTCCCTGGAATGATCCAAGTTGATCCCCTGTGCCATGGGCCAGGGAGCAGAGACCTGCAAACCAGATCCTCCCAGTCTGTGGTCAGACAAGGTGTTCCCTCGATCCCACTGCCCATCCTGCACAATCAGGCATAGCCCAGGCTGCTCCCTGCATCACTCCATCCTCCCTGCTGCCCTGAGATGCCCATCACTAGGCCAACCAGCTCTTCTGAAAGGTGCAGGAGGGAGTGTCCTGCCAGGCTGGAGCTGCCTTCCCTACCTTCCCACTGCCATCCTGGCTGTCCTACACAGTGGGTCCTCCACTCCCACTGCTTTTCTCTTCATGACCCCATGTTTGGTGGGTCTGGCACAGCTGGGCTCAGAGGTTTGGGGAGCTCTTTCCTTCCAGCGACTATTCTTTTTCCTTCCCCCTCTGAATTCTGTCGTTTGGTTTCTTTGCTTTGCTTTTCCTGTCGCTGTCCTGGCTATTCACACGCCATCTCTCTGAGTGCCAAGGCTGCCTCTGAAAGGGCTGGCGCATTAAGGAGTCTCTGCACGCTGCCTCCGGCGCAGGCTGTGCCAGCGACACCGAGCCACTTCAAAGTGCTTCCTTCCCTGGCCCCTCTGGGACTGGAGTCCCCATGGGAGCTCCTGAGGGCCTGGGTTAAGGCAGGAGAAGGGGTGGCACAAGGCACGATGAAGCACCTCAGGCACATTCTCCCTCTGGTTTTGCCCTGCGGCAGCTCTGCTCGATGGCACTTCCTTTGCAGTCTCTCCGTGGATGCATTTGGTGGCCCAACTGCGGGTCCCCGCGTGGAAGAGGCTCTCAGGGAGCTGGCGGGGATGTGCCTCTGCCCCGCTGACTCATGGACAGGCAGAGCCAGCGATTTGGGCACCCAGGCGTGACACACGGAGGATTAAAGCACCCAGACGCTGCTGCTGCCCTTCAGCTCCGGCCACTGCACTGGTGTCTGTTGACTCGAATTAATTGAATAACTTGTGAAGAGGCACTGAGGCTTCCCCTCTCCCCCGCACCCTCCCCGCTTCTGTTTAGCTCGGAATGTCCTGGGGATGCAGTGTGAGGATAACACACCCGCAGTGCTTGTTTGTTCAGACTTGGTGCCATTTGACCATTGACTTGTTCAGGAATACTCCCGATTATTATTTCTAAGGCCATTTTGTGTGTGACCGGTCAATAAGCTCTCCTCTCACAGAGCAGGAGGCCGTGTGCTGTGTCGGTGGTTTGGAATGCCTCAGCTCCCACCTTGCCGTGGCTGTCATTTCATAGCAGCCAAAGGGCTGAGAATTTGTCAGCACTTATCCCTGCCTCCACAGGACAAAAAATGCCCCTGTCTCCCATTTGGGCGCATACTGGTCCCTCTCTTGGGCAGGGCAGCAGTGCCTTGGGATTAATTAGCCGTGCTCTGTGCAGAGGATCTGCCAGCGCCTAGCTCAGCTGCTGCTCGTGTTTTGCTGTGAAAATGAAGCTCTGCCCACCAGAGAGCGCGTACGTGCACACAGCGTAGGGTCTATGGATGCCTCTCTGGCATGGCTGGGGACTCGCTGCCACCTCTGTGCCCTGCTACTTCAGAGTGCGACGCTCAGAAGTGAGACTCACCATTTGTGCCAGCCCGGGTGCTTTTGTGGAGCTCCTGGAGGATGGAAATGGCTCCCCCGCATTGCTCAGGGGCAGGGAGGGACGGGGCAGCATGGAGGAAAGGCTCCGTGGATGCCACTGGATGCAGCTCCTGCTCCTCTCTTAGCTGAGCACGATGGCTGTAAGCAGCTGAGATCCCTGCCCTCTTTATCGCTGTTTGCACTGGCGTCAGCACTATTGCAACAGTTTGCTTAAGATAGTATAAATCTGGTGCAGATGCTCCTGTTTAAGGAAAACTGATTTTATTTTTTTTTTTTTTACTAAACTTGAGCTTAAATCTTCCTAGGGACTTCAGATAAGAGCATACATCCTTCCTATCAGCCTGAACAGTGTCACTCCACAGTCAGCTTTCAGTTAAGCAGCGTAACAGGCACTCACACGAGGTGAGCAGAATGAATTTTTGATGGGCGAGGAGAGCAGGAACCACAAGAGCTTTGTTTTTTTCCCAGCACCAAGAAGCTCAAAGCAAGGCAGGGCCCTGAGGGCGGCCAGGATGGCAGCACTGGGCTGGGGGCTGCAGCCTACAGCAATGCAAAGAATATCTCACAGCAGTGGCCTTGAATGCAGTAAAAGCAGACATAGGGAGGTGAGAGAGCAAAGTGCAAGAAAGGCGTGGAAGCACTTAATCTGTAATTTCTCTTATGAGCTGTGGAGCAATGGTGGGTAGTTGTAGAGGTGAGTGACAGAGCTGGACTTGTTACAGCTGTGTTATCAGCTGCTGGCAGAAAGGCTGCTTGGCTGCAGAAACTGCTGCTGGCAGGAGCAGGACCCCCAAAACACTGCCATCCTGGCACCATGCTGCCAGTGGGGATGGTTCTGGGTTTGCACTCACCTCACAGACATCCCATCTCTTTTCAGAGTCCCCCAGTGCATCACTTTCACCCCATTTCCCATTGTTGCTTTCCAATGTTCTCTGAAGTTGCCTCCTCCTTACGAGGCTCGGGTTCTTTCAGCCTTATTATCCCTGCCTTCACCGATCCCCACGCTGCCAGGGCAGCTGCCCTCATCCAGATCCATCCCCATGCAGTATTCCCATCAGAGAGTACCCACTGCCCTCCCACAGCTCGGAAGCACAGGGCAGATGAAGGATTGCTGCCTGTAGCATTCATTAGAGAAAATCCCTCTCCCTGTGCATTACCAGGAGGCAGGAGCAGTGCTGCACAGGTTCATTGCTTAAGTGCTTTCTGGGCTTGCAGCTCTCTAACAAAGATGCACTCGGTCAAGCCTGAAGCCTCCACTCCAGCTCCTGCCTGCAGTCAGGCTGGGGCCTCTGTGTGTGGCGGGGTGCAGCAGGACAGAGGCATTGAGGCTGTGTGGGCTGAGGCTGGAGGAGGCAGGAGTGCTGGGTTAGAAGGCGAACCTGCAGAACATCAAGTGCCTCTGGAGATGTCCCTGCCCCGGGGCAGGCTGCTCTGCCCAACCCGTGCCCAGTATTTGTCATGCCTCTCCTTAACCTCCTCCCCAGACCATCTTCCACTGTTCTTCTGCCCTTTCTGCCAGAAAACTTTTCTTTACTGTCTGCCTTGTGTGGCTCCGCCAGCCACTGCCCAGTGGAGCAGAAGTCACTCCCTTTGTCACTGCTGGGCCTTGCCCTGCCTGGGGAGGCTGCAAGCACAGCTCCCTGCTGTCAGCACTGGCCTCGTCTTCCTCAAACTTTGCTCTCCTGATGGATTTCCTAGACATCTGGTCCTTGCTCCTCTGTCCAGAAAGTCATGGCACGGAGCACTGTGCTCCCCTCTCATACCCCAAGTTTGTGCTCTGAGCAAGGTGAGGCTGCTCTCCCCAACCAGGCTTTTGGGTTCTCTCTACAACAAAAGGCATTTGCACTTGCCCTGATGGAGCTGCCCCGTGGGCAAGTCAGGCAGAGCTGGGCAGATAGGATCGGGGCTCTGGGACCGTGCTGGTGCCCAGTGCAACCCACAAAGGCATTTAGGACATTAGAAAGACGGATGGTTTTTGCAAGCTGCCGTCACAAGCTGGCAGTTTACAGCACAGGGCGATGGGCAGGGCTGTGGGCTGACCTGACTCTTCGGCTGTGCTGGTGGCAGATGAGGACACGGCTTTGGGATGCTCCCAGCCCCTGCACCCTGGGGAGGAGCTGGGAAGGGCCCGGGGAGCAGCAGCACAGCACTGTGGCACCGGGGCAGCCTTGTGCCCTCCGTGCCGTGGCTCTGGGAGAGGTGCAGTGTGAGTAGCCAGCAGTGCTGTGGGGCGCAAGCCTGGCCCCACCAGCTCTGCTATCACGCTATTTTTGAATTCTCTTTTGTGTTTTTTTTTTCTTTTGTTGGTTTTTTTTCTGTTGTTGTTGTTGTTTTGTTTTTCTCCTTTTTTTTTTTTTTTTTTCCTTTTTCTTTCTTTTTTCTTTCTTTTTTTCTTTCCTGTTGTTTTTTGTTTTTTTTTTTTTCTGTCTCCTCGTGTTTGGTCCCTAGGAGCCAGCGCTAAGAAACAGGGAGAGGACTTAGCGGATAATGACGGGGATGAAGACGAAGGTATTTCTGTGCTCGAGGCTGCCACTGCATGACACGCAAAGCAACTCCGTATGCCCGCCATCCGCTGCCATCCCCAGGGAGCCCCGTGTGTGTCTGTCTCAGCGCTGGGCAGCTGCGCGGGGCGGGGGGCAGGGGGGCCGGCTGTGCAGGGCTCAGCCCCATCCTCTCCTCCTGGGGAAGCTTTGAGGTCGTGCTGCAGGAGAAGTTTGCTGGCTGCCCCGCTCCGCTCGAGCGAGGGCCGGGAGGAAGCATGGCAGCTTGGGAGCAGAGGAGCCCTCGGGCACCTGGGCCCATTTCACCCCGAGCCCGGTCATATTCCACCTCCAGCCTCATCCCTCCAGACTTAGCGATGCACGACGGGAGCCTGCACTCTCCCCTCCCACCTGCTTCCAGTATGGGACAGAAGCATGGACACCCGTGCCACCGATCTGTGCCCAGTCCCAGCCGGGTGTGCTGCACCCATTTTTGTTCCTAATGCCAGGTGTTGCTTGTGCCACTTCGTCTGTGCCAGATGAGGCAGAGTGAGTGCAGTGTCAGACGGGTGTGTTTCATTGCCAGCAGGTTAAGAAAGCTGCAGAACAGGCGGTTTTTGGTAACACGGGGCTGCTCGGCCACAGGGCTGGGACTCGGTGTGTTTTGTTGCAGAGATGTGAGGAGGAGGTCAGCCAGGATGCAGCTGTAACACAGTGAGGGCACTGCGACCTCGTGGGCTGTGGAGTGCTGGGGCAGCCCGGAGCCCGTCCTGGCAGATGGCATTTGGGTTCTGGGAAGCAGATGAAAAGCCAGTTCATTGGCAGCAGCAAAACCTGTTGTTTTCTTCCAGTAACCTGTGCCCCAGGATCTCTTGGACCAGGGCATAAACTGGCATCCATCCTAAATGATCTGACTGCAGAAAATCCCTGCATGCCGAATTGTGCCACAAAGATTAGGAGCCATTTTTTCCCTGCTCTGCCTCTACGTTTTAATGCCGATCTGATACAGGGATGGCCCTTCGTGTTTTGGTAGTGGCATATAGCAGTGGGGACAGAGCTGCAAGAATGAGTGCTGGAGCTCTTGGGGTTTCACCCAAGAGGTTTTCCTGGCAGAGCACTGCAGGTTGGCCGCCACGGTGGGGTGTGCAGGGAGGTGGGGATGGAGCTGTGGTCGGGGCAGCTGGAGAGGGTAAGAGCTGTGCCTGGTGCCAGCCAGTGCCCACCAATGCACAGCACTGGGTGCAGGTGAGCACAAAGGAGAGCAAAGTCCATGAGTGCTGGAGAGTTGACACTGCCACTGCGATTTGTGCAGCTGCTTCCATGCGATGTGGGTGAGATGTTCCGCGGGCCCAGCGTGGGTACGGCTGCCCCCAGGACAAGGATAGTGAGGAGAGAGAGACAGCACGGCTGCTCCTCAACCCTAGGCTCCTCCGGTGCTCTCTCCCCAGTCCTCAGGTCCCATTCCCCATCCTCACTCCATGCCTCATGACCTGTCCTCGCCCAGCCTCGGCGCTCACCTCCCCAACACGCACACATGCACGCACTGTCTGCTCATCGCCATGTCTGTGTCCGGGCACTGGGGTGCCATGGGTTCACATCCAGGCAGCCGGCAGATTTCTGCCTCCCTGGGCAATCGGGAAGGTGGGGAGGCGGGTGAGTGAGAGGTGGGAGCACCCACCAGTGCCCCCCCGCCCTCCAGGTCCTGCACACCCCATCCCTGCCCCTCTTCAATGCCAGCTGCCAGCACTTCCGGAGCTGAGGGCTCGGGGCCACGGGGACACAGGGACAAACTCCATGAGCACCCCCAGTCTGTTGGTGCCCTACAGCCACTGTCACCATGAGGGTGCCAGCTCCTGCCTGTCACCAGATCCCGGCTCCAGGGAAGAGCAGCTGGGTGCAGCCGATGCCTCCCCTGCATGCATTGAGACTCTGGGCAGCTGCTGCCCAGGGGACAGCAGTGCTGGGATGGTGATAGTGGCTGCCTACCACCGGGGGGGTTGGGGCCTGGCAGGGTTTAGGAGGTTGGCAGGACTGTGCTATGGCTTTGGGCTCTGGGTTTGGCTGCTGCAGCCCCCTCCCTGGTCCTGGCAGCTGGCATTGCCCTCCTCTCTCTGTGGTCTGCCTCTCGGCAGGGTGCTGCGATCGCCAGCGTGGTCCCGTGTTTAACCTCCTCTCCTTCCAGACATCCGGGACAGCGGGGCCAAGCCAGTGATGGTGTACATCCACGGCGGCTCATACATGGAGGGCACGGGGAACATGATCGACGGCAGCGTCCTGGCCAGCTACGGGAACGTGATCGTCATCACGCTCAACTACCGCGTCGGAGTGCTGGGTACGGGCTGTGCCGCGGGACAGGGCACAGGGAGAGGTGGCCGAGTGCCACGTGGCGGTGCCCACAGCAGCGTGGTCAAGTTCCTGGCACCGGCCACCCAGGCTTTTTTACTCAACCTGGCTCAGCTGAAAGCAAATATTGGTTTGTGGCTAAATAAATAAGAAATGTGTTTAGACAGCATCATCTCCTGAGAGTGCTCACAGCTCTGAGCTGCCAGAGGGTGCTGCCTCACCGCCCTGCGGGTGCCATTAGAGCCAACAGCAGTGCCTGTGCTCCAGCAGCCTGTGTCCAGGGCTAGGGTAGGTTCAGGAGCTCCCCTTACCCTCCATGGGCAATGCACAAGCCCAGATGCATCCCTTGGGGAAAGAAACAGGAGGGCTATAAGGTTGATTTTGCTCTCTGTGGTTTCCTGCAAGATGCACAGAACCGTGCTCGGCCCTCCAAGGGCTTTGCTTGGGAAAAGTCCATCCAAGCAACCTGCAGGCTCTGCTGCTCTCACTCAGCTGGGTCAGGGGCTCAGTGCCCCACACCTGGGCACCACATCCTTCCGACAGCCCCTGTGCCCAACCTTCCTCTTGGGGATGACGGTCACAGATCAGCAGCCTTGCTTGGATTTACCTGATAGAAAATAAGCTTTTCTGACAGAACAAACATACTTGAGACCTTTCGATATTAAAAGTCAGGCCTTTCAGATTGATAGTGCAAATTTAAGAGATCTGAAATACAATCTGAAATCTGACTTAAAAGGTACCATTGGCATCTCCACTGAAGTGCTGCAGTGTGCTGGCAGGCGCACCCAGGTGCCGGAGCAGCACCACTCCCTGCTGCCAGGTAACTCTCAGAGCCATGCCTTTGGCTTCCTGCTTTGAGTCAAGGCAAACAAAACACTGATAGCTTATCTTGGGTGTTACCTTTACTATTGAAAGCATTTCTCAGCATCTTCCTCACTGAAAGTTTTTGCATTTTAAGCTGCAGTCAGTTCCTTTCTGCCCAGCCCACCTCCTTACATTTATAGTGCCTCCTCCAGACCATGCCATTCCATGGGAAGCATTGGCTGTGCATGCACACTGCTCCCTGGCGCTCTCAGCTTTCCTTGGAGCATCCCTTGGAGATGTCCTGGCCTGTTGTTAGTGTGGCTGGTGGTCGGGGTAGGGCAGAGCTCATGCCCATCGCCCTGTCTCTGCCTGGAGTTGCTCCATCTCACCCCTCAGCCCCTCACCCACATGTGAGCAGCACTTTAATATCCCCACTCCAACCACAGCAGCCACAGAACCCCACTGGTCATGACGAGACGGGATCCCATAGGCTCTTCCCTAGGCTCAGGAAAGGGTGGGAGATCGGCCTGCTTCCCCCATCACTAACAGGGCTCTGCTTCACTCTCAGGGTTCCTGAGCACAGGGGACCAGGCTGCCAAGGGCAACTACGGGCTGCTGGACCAGATCCAGGCGCTGCGTTGGGTCAGTGAGAATATTGCCTTCTTCGGCGGCGACCCTTTGCGCATCACCGTCTTCGGTTCCGGCATCGGCGCCTCCTGCGTCAGCCTGCTCACCCTGTCCCACCACTCAGAAGGTAGGTGCCAGGGGTGCCGAGGAATTCGTGTTGGAGTAGAGGCAAAGGTGGGTGTGAGCCTGCAGGGGAAATGAGGCCCCATGGTACCGGAGCGGAGATCTGGGTGTGCTGAAATTTGCACAACGCAGATGGAGGTGATGGGGTTGATATCGCATTGTAAATACGGTGGAGTGTTTGCTCAAGATAAAGAAAGGAATTGTTTATGCTGCGAGATTGTGCTGGTGTAAGAGCAAATGCATATAGAACACCTGTGAATAAATTTACATTGAAAAGTGGAAAAAAGATTTTCAGCCAACTGAGAAGAGCTGTTCTGCCTTTAACTTCCTAAAGAAAGTGGTACGAGGAAAACCTGAACTGAGCGTGGCCCACAGGACACCAGACTGCCAGGGAGTAGTTCTATGGGGCACATACATGATAGTTAACCTCATGTAGTACCACATCCCTGCGTGTGGGCACAGGACATAGGGGCAGTGGGCAACAGTGCTCCTCAGAAACGCAGGCAGGCACAATAAAATGACACCTCACACTGAAGAGCTGCAGCCCTGCTAGAGAGCCTGGGAACAGTGCACAAAGAAAGGAAACTTTCAGAAAGTCAGCACGTGGCAGAGGAGCTGATCAGCCTTCCCTTGGGAGGACGAAGGATGGACTGATCACCCCAAACTTTAAAGTAGCAGTGATTTCAGCCCAGACTGCTACAAAAGTATCTGCACCAGAGCCAGCAGCGCCATCCGGTTTGTAGCATTTGGTTTGAAGGGTGCAGCTTGGAGGTGCCACGTCCAGCACATGGCAAAGATGGGATTGCAAAGAGGTAAAAGGTTTGGAAACAAGAAGGAAGGTGAAGCTGCGGTGGCCCAGGATAGGTCTGCTCTGAGTAAACTGCTTTCCTTGCTGCCCCAGGATCTCAGGACATTTGTGATCAGTCCATGCTCCTCCACGAGTGCCCAGTGCCCAAAGTCAGTGCCTCTGCTCTGCACAGTGCTCCGTCCTCCTGCTGACCCTGAGCAGGATGCTGCTGGGGATGTCACCCCATCTTCAGGTCACTTGTGCAAACACGATTGGGTATCAGGAGGAGACACTTTCTATGGTAAAACCAGGAAATGCTTTGCATGAGTAGTCTGGGAAATCTGGTGTTGTGTGATGAAGGAGCAAGGGTGGATCTCTGCAGATTCCTGAGCAGCAGGATGGGCTCCACCTCCATGCAGGGGACACTCTGTGGCTCAAGGACTCATGTGTGGCCATGCTATCCTCATGGATGAGTACCTGGGGTTCCACAAGCCCTCCTGCACATGCATGGGTACATGGGGCAGTGAATACACCAGTCTTTTGCAGCCTGAAAGCTCCTACACAGAGAGAAGGGTTTTCTCTGACCAAACTGAGTTGGAGATGCAGCTGGCAGCACAGAGAGAGGCTGGTGGATTGGGGAACCCAGCAATTACTTCCCCAGAACAACTGCAGCTGCTTGCTGGCTTTCCCTCCATGGTTGAAGAGCCCAGCGCAGCACTTTCTGGGTGACACCAGGCTTTCTGCCACTAAACCCTGTGTCTGCATGCTGTGTCCTTTGCATCACATTGGTGCTGGGCACCTGGCTCCTTCATTGCCTTGGCTATGAACGCAGCGAGGAGGGAGGGGAGGCGCTGATGCTGCAGCCAGAACTGCATCAGAACAAATGGACACAGAACGCCCTCATCCCGCCCCGCTCCAGGGCACCCATCTCCCCAGGGCCATCTCTGCAGCGCAGCAGGGAAGCCACACTGAGACTCAGCCTGGAGACCAGGCGGGTTTGTTTTTATCGGATCAAAATAAAACACGTAGTGATCAAGAGCTATTAATGAAGCAGCTAATTTGTGCCTGCTCTGCCAGGCGCGGCGAGAGGCAGACATGGGAGGCTGGTGCTGTGCACGCTGCGTCTGGCTGCCGGGAAGACCCACAGCTCCCCTGCCAGCCCTGTTGCTTGCTAGCAGGTGGATTCTCTGCCAAGAAGCAAAGAGCTGCTTCTCTCCTCCAACAAAGGTGTGGGGAGGGGGGGTCTGTCATCTTGGTGGGAAATGGCCAGTGCCCAGTGGGCAGCACACTGATGGCAGGGTCAATAGCTGCTGCTGTAGGGAGTGTCTGTAAAGAGGATCCTCACCTTGGAGGCACCCAGCGAGGCTTGGGGAACCCTTAGATCAGCTGCTCCATGGTGGGCGATGGTGAAGAGCATGCAAGCCCACGGTCAGACTCAGGCTTGTAGGCTGGGCACTGCTTTCTAGGGCACTGGGAGGTGACAAACAGAGCTTGTGACTTCTCTTTGTCCCAGCGCGTGGGACTGTACGTCAGGTACTTGGCAGAGCAAGGACTGTGCGTGCGGACAGCTATGGGCACTGTGGCTGATAGCCAGGATCCTCCCAGCACTGCTGCTGCAGGAAGGAACACGCTCCCTGCAAAGCTGCGTGGGTCCAGGTGTGCAGCCGGGTCTCCTGCAGCACTCCGAGCTCAGCCATGCCCCGTGCCCTGCACCACACATGAAATGGAATCTGGCAGCCGTCGAGTGCCAGGGTTCAGCAAGGCACAGGGGTGCAAGAGAGGGCTGGCCAGAGAGCAGAGACCACAGGGTGCACCCCGAGCTCGGCCGCCTCGCACCGCCCCGGAGGCTCCGCTTCCTCACAGCCCTTTGTATTCCGAGCACAAGCGCCATTGACATGGGGCTGGAGCCCAGCCACACATTCCTCCGCCTGGGCCAGGGCCTTTGTGGCCCCGCTTTCCAGGGCGAAAGTCCACTCCCTCTGTGTTCCCAGTGGCAGAAAGGCCCTCTTTGTGCATCTGGCAGCGTGCTCCCGCGGGGCCGGATTGGCACCAAGCAGCCCCAGCTGGGCAGGAAGTGGCAGGGAGGGGGGTGAGGGGGACCCTGACAAAGCAGCGGGTGGGACATGCAGGGTTAAGTGTCCCCGAGCAGGGATTAACCCTCCCGCTGCTGCTGCATGGTCCCATCCAGGCTGGGAGATGACAGCAGCGTGTGATGGCGGAGATGGAGCGTGGTGTTCAGCCAGCCGTGGCTGTGACACAGCCATGAATGGCCCCACGAGATGCTGGGACCTCCCCACGAGATGCCTGCCATGGGAGCACAGCACCCCATTGCAGCCTCGGGGTGTTGGAGCGTCTCTGAGCTCCTTGCTTCTCTTGCAGGTCTCTTCCAGAGAGCCATCATCCAGAGTGGCTCCGCGCTCTCCAGCTGGGCGGTGAACTACCAGCCCGTCAAGTACACCAGCATGCTGGCAGACAAGGTGGGCTGCAACGTGCTGGACACGGTGGACATGGTGGACTGCCTGCGGCAGAAGAGCGCCAAGGAGTTGGTGGAACAAGACATCCAGCCGGCCCGCTACCACGTGGCCTTTGGGCCGGTCATCGATGGGGACGTGATCCCAGATGACCCAGAGATCCTGATGGAGCAGGGCGAGTTCCTCAATTACGACATCATGCTGGGTGTCAACCAAGGCGAAGGGCTGAAGTTCGTGGAGGGCGTGGTGGACCCCGAGGATGGCGTTTCGGGCAGCGACTTTGACTACTCGGTCTCCAACTTTGTAGACAATCTGTATGGCTACCCCGAGGGCAAGGACACCCTGCGAGAAACCATCAAGTTCATGTACACAGACTGGGCCGACAGGGACAACCCCGAGACGCGCCGCAAGACCCTGGTGGCCCTCTTCACTGACCACCAGTGGGTGGAGCCATCAGTGGTGACAGCCGACCTGCACGCCCGCTACGGCTCCCCAACCTACTTCTACGCCTTCTACCACCACTGCCAGAGCCTGATGAAGCCCGCGTGGTCCGACGCGGCCCACGGGGATGAGGTGCCTTACGTGTTTGGGATCCCCATGATCGGCCCCACAGACCTCTTTCCCTGCAACTTCTCTAAGAACGATGTCATGCTCAGTGCTGTGGTGATGACCTACTGGACCAACTTTGCCAAGACAGGGTGAGCGAGGCAGGGTGGGAAGCGGTCTGCACTTGAGTGAGGGGTGGCAGGGTGGCACTGAGTCCCCTGTCCCTGGAGATCCGTGGGCTTGGCTCCTCGTGCTCCTGCCTTGGGCAGGGCGATCGTGACCTGGCATGGCTGTAGCCAGCGTCAGCCCAGGACAGGGCTCCAGCCACAGCTGAGAGCAGGGGTGTGGGAGCAATTTGGTCACGGTTATCACGGGTGAGGCTCAACTCAGGGTTTGGGTTGCTGCCCATCTGTGCCTCCCTTTGTTTATCACCCCTGGCTCTTTCACCTCGCCTCTCTGGCTCTGCCGGGTGCTAGCTCTGTTTTGTCTGTGTCTCGCAGGGACCCCAACAAGCCCGTCCCACAGGACACCAAGTTCATCCACACCAAGGCCAACAGGTTTGAGGAGGTGGCCTGGTCCAAGTACAACCCCCGCGACCAGCTGTACCTGCACATCGGGCTGAAGCCGCGGGTGCGCGACCACTACCGAGCCACCAAGGTGGCTTTCTGGAAGCACCTGGTCCCCCACCTGTACAACCTGCACGACATGTTCCACTACACCTCCACCACCACCAAAGTGCCGCCGCCCGACACCACGCAGAACTCCCACATCACCCGCCGGCCCAACGGCAAGATCTGGACCACCAAGCGCCCCGCCATCTCACCCGCCTACAACAGCGAGAACGGGAAGGAGAAGTGGAGCCCGGAGCAGGAGGCGGGCACCCTGCTCGAGAGCCCCCGCGACTACTCCACCGAGCTGAGCGTCACCATCGCCGTGGGCGCCTCGCTCCTCTTCCTCAACGTCTTGGCCTTCGCCGCCCTCTACTACCGCAAGGACAAGCGGCGGCAGGACACGCACCGGCAGCCCAGCCCGCAGCGCGGCGCCGCCAACGACATTGCCCACGCGCCCGACGAGGAGATGCCATCCCTGCAGGCCGGCCAGGCGCACCACGAGTGCGAGGCCGTGCCGCCCCACGACACCCTGCGCCTCGCCGCCCTGCCCGACTACACGCTGACGCTGCGCCGCTCCCCGGACGACATCCCGCTCATGACGCCCAACACCATCACCATGATCCCCAACTCGCTGGTGGGGCTGCAGACCCTGCACCCCTACAACACCTTCGCCGCCGGTTTCAACAGCACGGGGCTCCCGCACTCACACTCCACCACCAGGGTATAGCTGCCCGCGGCCGGCGCACACCCATGCACGCACGCACACGCACTCGGCAGACACTGGCAGAGGGACCGGCGGGAGCCCCCCGGGACAGACAGACAGACGGACGGGTGGCACACACGGACGGTGTGACACCAAGCCCAAACCTGCGGGCGCTGCGCACCGCCGGCCGCCACGCTTCCCTCGGCGCTTTCTTTCATTCCTTTCTAACTTTGAGAAGTGCTTCAACTCTCCGGCTCCCGGCAGGAGGGCCCCACTGGTGCACCGGGGCTGTGCCCCCCGATGGGGACACGGCGGCACCCGCGCCCACCGAGCACCCCGAGACGGGCGAGCGGCGGCGCCGGGTATCCCTCTTGGAGGAGGTTTGGCATCCAGAGCGCCGTGGATGAGGCTCCGTCACTGTGCCATGGTGCTAAGGGCAGAGGCAGCAGGCAGGGACCCGGCCTCGCGCTGGGTGCGGGCGCTGGGAGCCGGGGAGCCGCCCCGCGATGGAGACGTGGCACCTCTGCCCCCTCTTTGCGCTGCAGAGAATCTCTTTTGTGTCAGTCGTTTCTCTTTGCAGAGACGTTTTTTAAAGCAGATCTTTAGTTCTTTACACACTAACGGAGTCGCCGCGTTTTGTCCTTTGTAAAGATTTTAAACCAAGTGTTCTTGATATAAAATAAAAAGCCAGTTAGAAGAACCCCAGCGTGTGTGCGCGGTGCCGGCCCTGACGCGGCCCCACAGCCCCAGTACCCGTGCACGGGGCCAGCGGGCACCAGGCACCAGGCAGGGCCCTGCCTGCCGCGCTGCGAGGCCGCGCTCTTTTGTATTTTTGATATTCTCCCTCCTCTGTCACCCGTGCCCACGGATCTCAGCCAAAAAGCCCAATCCAGGGCCCAGCCACGGGCGCCCCACAGCCCCTCAGCCCCATCCCAGCCCCCAGTCCAGTGCCACTCTCAGCCCTCTGCGGGGTCGCCCAGTGGGGTTGGATGCGCGCTGCCAAAACGCAGCCACCCACAGCCACCCTGCCCTGCTCCCCACCTCGCCACCACCCCGTGCAGGGTGTGCCACTGGGGACAGGGCACCCGCCCCGGGGCTGGGGCACCCGCAGAGCCGGCGATGGCCGCAGGTAGTGGGGAGCTTAGGGCTGGATGTGGGGAAGGAGCTACCCGGGAGCAGTGAGGGCAGGGGTTGGTTTGGCCCCCAGCGTGGTCACCGTGAGCACAGGAGGGGACGGGTCCTGTGTCCCCGCAGGGATGCCACCCTCAGCCTCGGTCCGGCTGGCAGACGCTGCCCGCACTGGCAGCCGTGACGCATCGGTGCCGGCTGACCCCACACAGCCCCACATGGCCCCACACAGCCTTGGTTTGGGGTGAGGGTGCTGGTTGGAGAATGTATTTATACCCTGTCACCCGCTCAGAGTAACAAATTCCAAATAAAACAGAAGTGATATTTTTAATAGTGGTGTGTCTTGCCTCTCCTTGAAACGTGCAGGGGGTGGATCACAGGGATGCCCCAACCTGGGGGTCCCCATGGTCCCGGCACCCACCTGGGCAGGGGTGTCACCTGTCCCCTGATGCCACTGGGGGCACGGTAGGGTCCCCGCATGTCCCAGCCCTTCTGGGTCCCTGTGGCATTGAGGTCCTGTGCAGGACCTCGCCCACTCCATAGGTGTCCCACAGTGTCCCCTCCCGCCCTGCCCAGCCCTGCTCCCCTCCCCCTGCTTGCCGATCAGAAATCTGCTGGTTTCATTGCTTTTTAAGGTAATTTCCACTGGAGTCGCCATGGCAACCAGGCATGGGGGCCTGAATCGCCTCCAGGCAGCGCAGCAGAAGAGCCGGGCCGACGGCTGGGGCTGGGGGGGACCAGGGGGAGGCAGGCGGTGCTGCATGGGTGCTGCTTTGGGGAGTCCTCATCCTGCAGCCAGCACGAGGCAGAGGCACCCAGGGACAGGTGACCCTTTGCCATGGGGTTGGCGTAGGGATGCTCCGCTGGTATCCTTCCCCACCCCAAATCCTGGCCCTTCAGCCCCCACTCAGCACTGCCCCGATCTCAGCGCCCTCTGCTCAGACCCACCCAGCTCTCCCATCGAATGCCGCCTTCAGCGCCAGCTGCAGGAGAACTGGGATGGATGGAAACCTTGGAAACCCACACTGGTCCAAGGGGGACGGGTTGCCATGGCGATGCCATCGCTCCGCAGCACAGCTCCAGCACAGCCCCACTCACTGCAGTGCAGGCAGTGGAGCCGGCGCTGCCCAGGGGATGGCAGCCCACCCCAAAGACCCCAAGGACAACGCCAGCTGCCCGCCCTGCAATCCCCTGCACGGGGTGGAGAGGCAGGTTCTTGCCCCACAACAGGAGCTCTCTCTGTATTCTGTGCCCCATTCCTTGCTGTCCCCATGGACCATCACGGCCACCCCAGCAGGACCCTGGGTGCAAGGTGGTGACTGGCAACATGCTGCCATTAAGATCCTGCTTCTGCCATCTTCCCCAGCCTGCTGCCATCTGCTCTGGGCGTCCCCACCATCAGCAGAGAGCGGACACCGCATCCCTGAGAACACACGTGGTCAACATCCGTGTGAGGACACAGGATATCTCCAGCTCCGGGGATGTGGTTGGAGCTGCAGGCATAGAGAAGCAGAAATAAACTGAACTGCGATGGCAGCGAGGCATGGAGAGGGCACGAGAGGCCACTGTGTGTCCGTGATGCTCCAGGAGCCACCGCCTGTGGGAGTGCAGCAGCATTGCTGTGTCCTGGTCCTGGTCCAGGTCCCCACCCCCCCAGCTTAGGGCCCAGCCACACAGCGCACCCACTGCTCCACCAGCACTGTGTTCCCCTGACCTCGCTCTGCAGCACAAAGCATTTCTGTGCTGTCTGCACCCTTCCTGGCACAGCAGACTCCAACGAGGGGGATCTGCCTCCTTGGGGAGTCCGTGATGCCATCACTTCAGCTCTGACAGCACTGCCCGGCTCCACTGCGCGTCGGTGATGGTTGGACACGGATTCCCTCTGTGACGCTCTGACCCCACGGCAGCAGCACTGCGTCAGCGCGGCCCTGCAGCCGGGTGCCGTCCCAGCACAACGCCTCTCCCGTACCCACAGCCTCACACATCACCACCGTGCTGCCAACCTCAGGATTGGCGTCACCACCCGTGAGCCCACGTCCGCTCCCTGCGGCCAAGGGCCGGTCCTGCCCTCGGAGTACAGCCTGTCCCTGCACGAGGGCTTTGCACAATGTTTTTGCTGCTGTACAAAGGGCAGCAGCTGCTGATGGCACCAACACGTCCCCACTTGACACGCTCTGTCCTGGGGTCACCGCTCGCAGTTCTCCACCCCCACCCCAAGCCTCACTCCCACCTCCACCTCCATCCACATTCCCATCTTCATCTTCATCCCCATGCCATCCCCATTCCTACTCTAATCCTCACCTCATTCCATCCCATCTCATTACTATTCTAATCCTCACCTCATTCAATTCCATCCCCATCCCCATCCAATTCCCATTCCCATTCTCATTCTCACCCTCATTCCCGTTCCTGTCTCCACCCCACTCCACCCCACCCCTCCCCACTCCTTCCCCATCCTTCCCCATCCCCATCCCTATCCCTACCCCTACCCAAATCCCCATCCCATCTCCTTTCCCATTCCGACCCATCCCGGCCCCGCAGCGCCCTCTGCCGCCGCAGTTCCGTCTCCCAGCGCGGTGTAGCGCTGGGTGCAGTGCTGACTCAGCCCCTTATGGGGGACGGCCGCCCCTCCCCGCCCTCAGCCCCATCCCGGGCCCCGCAGCCCCGCGTCGCTTCCACCCCAGTGCCCCTTCGGCCCCTTCGCCGTTTCCCATCTCTTCGACGGGACCTTGGAGCGGCCGCTCCGCCAGTTAATGGTTGACAGAGGCTGTTTGTTTTTCCCCTCTGCGCTTTTTCCCATTAAATTTGGGTGTCGGGAACGACCAACGACGCCCGGAGCTGCTCCGTGGGGGTGTGCGGAGCCCCGTGTCCCCCGCCCGGCAGCGCACGGCTCGCGGAGGGAACGATAGGACGGGCCGGGGCCGTGGGGCGGTGCGTTGACCCCAAGGCACGGCGAGGGGAACGGGACACACCTGCGGCGCTGGAAAAGAGCAGCGGAGCGATTTGGGAGGGGTGGGCGGCGACCGGGGCGGTATAAAGTCCAGGGTGCAGCTCCGAACGCTGCGTCGGGAGGTGTGCGGGACCGAGAGCTTCCGCCGTCCCGTCGGCGAGGTGGGTACCGCGGGGGGGACCCGGGGCTCGGCCGCAAGGAGCGCTCGGCATCGGGGCTGCGGGGCTGGCACACGGAGGGCACCGCCGCGCTGTCCCCGCCTTCCTCCCCACCGTGCCACGTCCGTGCCTGGCCCTGAGCTGGAGCCGTGCCACGCGTGCCGCTCCGTGTCTGGGGCTGGTGGAAGACACGGGGACCCCTTTTCTCTGTGCACGGGAAGGCACGGATGGCACCATTCCCGGCCCCGCTGTGCCATCGCTGCCGCACGGAGACGCGGCTCGGCTTAGTCCCGTGTCCCCAGCACGTGGCTGCACTCGGTGCTCGCCGTTCGGGGAGGTGACCGTCCCCACTGCCACGTCCCGCCCGCCGTACTCAGGTGGCTGCCGACCCGGAGACCCCCCCGGTGGCGGCGGAGGAGCCACATCCGTGCTGGGCGCGGGGCGAGGTGGGAGCGGGGACGCAGCACACAGGGACTTTGTTTGGCCGGGGTGGGCGGAAGTCGGGGCGTTGGATCTGAATGCTAAAGTGTGTTGTTCAGGAGCCCATAAAGGCCCCATTGTATGCAAATAGTTTATAAAGCAGCATATGACTTCCAGTGCAGGGCAGTGGTGGACAGAGACGAGGGCAGGCGGAGCAGAGCTCTGCTGCAGGAGACATGAGACCTTAGAGGGGCCTTTGGGGGCAGCTCAGCAGGACTCTTCCTCACTGCCAGGTATGCGCTGGGGTGGCTCCCAGCCCTGTGCCTGGGTGCAGAGCAGCCCCCGTGCTGCTCCGTGCTGGCATTCAGGGTGCGTAGGGCAAGGCAGGGCTGGGGCAGGAGGAGGGTGGTACTGCAGGGCTGCAATCCCAGGGCTGGGGGTCCCCAGCTGTGCTCTAGGATTGTTGTGGGAGTGGGCAGAGCTCAGTACTGGGTGTGGGTGGGGGTCTGGGAACGTCATCCCCACCCTGTGCAGCACCTGGGGGTGGGGAGGAGGGCAGGAGGATGGCACTGAGCCACAATGGGACAGAAAGGTCAGCTCTGCTCCCGCATGGGGCAGAGGCCCTGCAGCAGCTCCTGGCTGCACGCTAGGAGCCCTTTGACCTTCTGCTATGGGGCTGGGCTGGGGGCAGGGGACGGCAGAGCTGTGGGGCAGAGTGCTGCCCTGAGCTGTGTCAGCAGCTCCTGTCCTGCCGTCTGTCCTGCCGTCACGCTGTCTGTCCATCCATCCTGCTCTCTGTCTGCCCTGCCCACCACCCTCAGCTCTGCGGTGGCCACTTGCTCCCATGTCCCCCACCACCGACCACCGTGGTGGCTCTCAGCCGGGGTCCGGCCCTCTCCTAACGCCGCTTCTCGTTGCTCCCTGCCAGGCGTGAGGAGCCATGAACTGGGCCGGCCTCTACGCGGTGCTGAGCGGGGTGAACCGCCACTCCACGGCCATCGGGCGCATCTGGCTCTCCGTCATCTTCATCTTCAGGATCATGGTGCTGGTGGTGGCAGCCGAGAGCGTCTGGGGGGACGAGAAGTCCGCCTTCACCTGCAACACGCAGCAGCCAGGCTGCAACAGCGTCTGCTACGACCACTTCTTCCCCATCTCGCACATCCGCCTGTGGGCCCTGCAGCTCATCCTGGTCACCACGCCGGCCCTGCTGGTGGCCATGCACGTGGCCTACCAGCAGCATCAGGAGAAGAAGCTGCTGATGATGACGGGCCACGGGGACGCCAAGCACCTGGAGGAGGTGAAGAAGCACAAGATGCGCATCGCGGGATCGCTGTGGTGGACGTACGTCTGCAGCGTGGTCTTCAGGCTGCTCTTCGAGGCCGTCTTCATGTACCTCTTCTACATGATCTACCCCGGCTACCAGATGGTGCGGCTGGTCAAGTGCGAGGCTTATCCCTGCCCCAACACGGTGGATTGCTTCGTCTCGCGGCCCACCGAGAAGACCATCTTCACCGTCTTCATGCTGGTCACCTCCAGCGTCTGCATCGTGCTCAACATGGCCGAGTTGGTCTACTTGGTGGTGCGGGCCTGTGCGCGCCGCAGCCGACACAACTCCAACCCTTCCTCGGGGAAAAGCTCTTTCTACGGCCACAAGCTTTCCTCTGAGTACAAGCAGAACGAGATCAACCAGCTGCTGACGGAGCAGGACGGATCCCTCAAGGACATGCTGCGCCGCAACCCCAGCCTGCAGGAGAAGGGCGACCGCTGCTCTGCGTGTTGAGCCCCACGCCGCCCCACAGCCCCGGGGGGGGCGCACGCTGCCCTCATGTTTTGTGTTGCACGCCCGGTGCCGGCCCTCCTGGACAGCGGGGATGGGGAGGGCAGGGCAGCCGCTGCGTGCTCGGGCCATTAAATGTCCATTCTCAGGTGCTGCCTTCCTGCTTTGTGCTCGGGGTGGGGATGCGGTGCCAGCGTGGGGTGCCTATCCCTGAGCAGAGAGGAGCAGTTCTGGTTGCACCCAGGCTACTGCTGCCCCATGTGCAGGGCTGCCCAGCCCCATACCTGGGGGTTTGGAGGGCCGCGGTCCCCAGGTGCAGTTGTGGTTGCGGTCACGGTGTCCCAGCAGCGCGCGTGTGGGAGTGGTGACCCTCTGATGGCATTGAGCACCAGCCCCTGCAGCCCCACAGTATATTTAGAAAAGTGCCCAGACCAAAAATAGAGGGGAAATTTTTCCCCCAGTGGCTGCTTCATCTGCCAATCACAAAAAAAAGCCAATGGAGCCTGCAGCTGCATCACGAACCGCTAACCTTCTGCCCACCATCGGGTGGACGGACGGACAGCCGGAGCCGGGTAGACCTGTCCGCACTGTGAGCGCTGGGGAAACGGCTTTGGAGCATCCCACACCACTCTGGTGACAGCGTGGGAGCAGCCACGTACCTGCGACGGTGAGGGGTCCCCGTGCAGGCGGTGTCCCCATGGCAGCCGTGCCCACACCACTGCTGGGGCTGCTCCCGCCAGAAGCTGCCCACACCGGGTCAGGGGGTTTGGGGTGCATGAAGTGGGGGCAGCCCCAGTGCAGGTCCCTGCATGCCCACCCTGGGGATGGGGCTGCGGTCGGGCACGCGTGTGTGCGTCTGTAACGTGGCTGTCTTGCAGCGCCATGGGGGACTGGAGCCTGCTGGGGCGGCTGCTGGAGAACGCCCAGGAGCACTCCACGGTGGTGGGGAAGGTTTGGCTCACCGTCCTCTTCGTTTTCCGCATCCTGGTGCTGGGGGCAGCTGCAGAACGGGTGTGGGGTGATGAGCTGGCCGGCTTCTCCTGTGACACGCAGCAGCCCGGCTGCCAGAACGCCTGCTATGACAGCACCTTCCCCATCTCCCACCTGCGCTTCTGGGTCCTGCAGATCATCTTCGTCTCCACCCCCAGCCTGGTGTACCTGGGCCACATCCTGCACCTGGTGCACTTGGAGGAGAAGGCGCAGCAGCAGGCGGCAGCGCGGGGTGGCGGCGGGGCCCGGAGGCAGCAGAGAAAACCCCGGATCCCAGCACGGGACACTCAGGGCCGGGTCCACATGCGTGGGGCCATCCTGAGGACGTACGTCTGCAGCGTTGTCTTCAAGGCTCTCTTCGAGATGGGCTTCATAGCAGGGCAGTATGCCTTGTATGGGCTTGAGCTGAAGCCCCTCTACACCTGCGGCCGCTGGCCCTGCCCCAACACCGTCAACTGCTACATCTCCCGGCCCACCGAGAAGACCATCTTCATCCTCTTCATGCTGGGGGTGGCCTGCGTGTCTCTGCTGCTCAACCTGGTGGAGATCTACCACCTGGGCCTCACCAAGTGCCAGCAGCGGCCAGGTCCCAGATCCCGCATCCTGCCTGGCCCTGGTGGCCTTGCAGGGTCCCACAGTGCCCACTTCACCTTGCCTGGTGGTGGCGACCCCACGGATGCCAGCAGACCACACCTGGCACCTCTGGGGAAGGCTGGTGCGTGGCTGGGGGTGGCCAGTGGGTCCCGTGGGAAGGCGCGGGCAGCGGACCTGGCAGTGTGAAGGCAGCTGGTGCCTGCTGGGATGCTCAGGGATGGACGATGCGTGGGCTGCCGTGCTGTGGTGGCCACAGCTGTGGTTCCCATCTCCAGGCCTGTGGCACAGACCCCACGGCCAGCATGAGCTGAGCATGGCTCGGGAGCAGCAGGATCAGCCGGTGCAGAGGCAAACCCCACTACCCCAACCATGAGCCCTGAGGAGCAAATAAACACCCACTGCACCTCACTTGACTCCTGCTCTGCCCGTGGGCACTGTGGCATTGCTGCCTGAACATCCATCTCATGCATGACCCCAACGGCTGGGGAAGGGCCACCACCATTGCTGGGCTGTAGTTCTGTGGGTGGGGAGCAGGCAGGACGGGCAGCACAGCAAGGGAGGGACGGAGAGGAGATGCATGGTGGCAGCTCTCCTTCCCCAGGGCCGTGATCTGGCTGCAGGGACATGCTGAGCTGGGATCACCCACTGCTGAGGGGACAAGGGCCCTTTTGCCCAACAGAGCCACGCAGCACATTTGGGAGAGGCCGAGCCCAGGGAAGGGAGGATCCCAGCCCCACAGACAAGCTCCCTGTTTGGGGCTGCGGCTGAGCAAGGGGCTGCATGCCAGTGCCCACCCCTTGCTTGGGGAAAGCAGGGGCAGCCAGCAATTTTCTGCAACTTTATTTGAAATGAATGGTTTCCAGAGACACAGGGTTAGTCCTAACGCCCTGTTATCACTACAACAAGACTGGTGAGTGGCTCACTCTCCACATGGACACAGAGAACAGAGGGCCCCAGGCCAAGGCCCAGAACAATATATACAGGCTCAACAAACAGTGCTGAGACCCATGTACAGCTCAGGAAAACCAACCAGAACACAAGGAGGGGCAGGAGGCAGCAGGGAACAGCACAGCAGGAGCCCAGCCCGCTCTGGGCAGGGCACTAGGGCCCTGCAACTTTGGGAGGGAGGAGAGGCCAAGCAGATCCCCTCACTTCTGCCAGAGGCTGCCTGAGCCTGGAGCAGAGCAGAGGGACCCACTACTGCCACCAGCACCCCAGCCAGCTTGCAATGCTGGTGGCACCTCGCCCTGTGTAGGGGGGCTACATCAGGAATGGGGACAGTGGGGAGGGAAGGGCAGCACTGGCACAGACCCGTGTCAGTCAGTTTTCTGCCGACTCAGAAAACATTGACAAAATTGAGGGAGACGACCCAGCTGGGCCTCTGACCCCACGTTCCAGCACCAACTTCATCTGCTCCCAACAGCCAGCCCTGGCCAACCCCCAACCCTGGAAACAACTCTTCCCCTATGCAACAGCTCACGCTCTGCCGGCGGTCCTTCCCTGCTGCCCTGAAAACACTGTCCCACTGCAGCAGAGCTACCGTTCCTGCCGTGCCACGTGCAGCTTCTGTGAGCTGATGCCAAAGGAAGGGGGGAATTTAAAAGCCTCAGAGCCTGCTGGTCCCAGGCAGCACTCTGCCGTATTGTGCGGTTCCTGCCTCAGGGCAGAGGGAGAAGGGATTACTGTCAGAGCTGGGGGTAGGGGCTGCAGCCCTGGGGAGCGGGAGGATGGGGAAGAAAAGGGGCCACCACCCTGGTGGCTTTGCCACCTCTGTGCTGCAGGGGCTGGCCCCAGGGAAGATGGCCCACCTGGCACGGGACAGGGCTGAGCGCAGGCGCCACGTAGGTAAGAAAGGCCTGTTACGAGCAGGATGAGATGTCTCGAGTCCAGTAACAATGTGGGGACAGCACTGCCGCAGTCCCGGCCCCACGCTGTGCTGCACGGCCCCCAAAACAGGAGTCACGGAGATGAGGTGTCCAAGGCTGGAGCAGAACGAGCCCAGCAGCACCCTGTGCTTAGTCCATATCATCCTCCACGCTGCTGAGCCGGCTGTGCTCCTCGTAGATCTCCCTCACCACCAGGATGCGGTTCAGCATGCTTTCCAGCATGCTCCTGTCCATGGGGATGACTGAATACCAAAGCGGGGACTCGGCGATGCACGACCTCTCAGGCTGCAGGTAGAAGATGTCGTTGCGGTTCCGCATACTCTCAGGACTGTAAGGAGAAAGGAAAGTGAGACCTAGGACATCAACAGCAGGGACTCAGAAGGCCTGGCTCGCCCTCTCGATTATCAAGGAGGGCTCAAGTGTCTCATCTTCTGGGCTAGACAAGGCCATGCACTGTAGTCCTCACTCCAAAGCAAGCTCCCTAACCAATGCGCCATACACCCCTCCATGTCTTTCAAGAAATAAGGAATGAAAGCAGACAGAGAGAAGCGTTCTCTCCATCACAGTCTACAGCAGTGCAGACCCTGGTCAAGGCATAACGCTGATGGAAGAACGTGCAGAGAGCAGCAGCTAGTCCACTGGGTCTCCCTGAAACTGAGAGGTGGCCCCAAAACAACACAAGCCTCTGATCCAGAAAAGCCTCACCATTTAGAGAGGTAAAACTCGTAGAACTTGACGGGGCATCGAAGCGGGTTCATCTTGTTCTCCCGCTGCTCCAACATTGGCATCTCCTCCTCACGCTTCCTCTTTCCAGTGCTACCATCTGCAAAGGCGGGATAGGGGTAGGATCACAGCTGGGACACGACAGAGAAGGCAGGGAGAGGGACAAAGAGATGTTCTGTCAGACCCTACCTCGGCCTTTCTTCTGCTTGGCAGGAGCGCAGTAGCGGATGCTCACCATCTTCGTGACGCCACGGGCTGTGGTGCACTTGCGAGACTGCCGCACTACGTTGGTGAAGGAGAGCTGCATGTGCTCCTCCGCCGTCTGCAGCCCAAAGAACTTCGTGTTGAAGAACATAAGGGTGTTAAGGAGCACAAAGGGTGAGTAAACGCCCAGCTGCTTGCACTCCCAGAGGTGCTCCTCCTCGACACGTGAGAAGACTGTGTCTGTAATACAGAGGAAGAACCAGGTCAACACCCACAGTGGCCTCGTGTTCTTTCAGGAGGGAACTAGAACAATGTGCCTGCCAGCAGTGGCTGGGAGCCAGCCCCACGCATCTGAAGAACGTGGGCCTGGAGCAATCCCTTCCCCTCCGAGTTCAACTCGGTGCTGACACTTCACAATGCCTGCCTTCCCATGAGGTTCCTCCTCCGGAGCCATTGGTGGACCCTAACCCTGCCCATTCCACAGCACAGGTAAATCTCAGCCCAGAATCCCAATAAATCCTAACAGCTCATCCCCACAGATGGCCACGAAGTGGACTCCAAGTCAGTGCTCCCCTCACTACGTGAGATAATAGAAAAGCCAGCCCCTCTCCAGACACACAGGTCTGGAGCCAAAGGCTTCTGCCTGGAACAGCCATCATGCAGAAGAGAAGCTACAGCAACTACCTGTTTATTGCAGGGAAGGAAGCCCAGATTGTGGCATCATGGAAAGCCTCTGCAAAGTTCTGCTCACAAGGTGTTATGACAGCAACCATGGCCAACGTTCATAACAGTGTGCAGGGCTTTCTGACAGAGTGGGAAGGGAAGGACATGGGCCACCACACCTGCTGGTTTGGTATCCTCTTTCCCAAAGGGTTCGGACACCACTGAAATTCACTATTGTAAAGGTTAGAACTGCTCCAAGAAACAAATGAGCCACACTCTGCTCCCAGCCAGCCTGACTCTGGGAAACAAAGTTGCTGAGGCATAAACCAGATTGGCTCTGCTGTCAGTATGGGTCAGGATGACCCTAAAACGCAGTGGAACAGCACTGCCTGTGCCAAGAAAGAAGACTGAGGCTGGAGGAATGCAAACAGACTGGAGGATCCAAGGCAAAAAGCATAAATGGGTTATGTGTGTGGTAAGTCAAGGTAATATGGAGACACGTACTGTTTGGTAAGACTGTGGGTTGCCAGCCACTCAGGGACTTGTTCAGCTCCTGCACGAAGGTCAGGTAGTAAAGGTCTGTAAATATATTCACCATACGATTGTTCTCAAGCAGGTACTAGAAAGAACAGAACACACAGTCAAGAGAGACAGGGGTACCTGGTGCAAACCCTTCCCATAAAGGCCAGGACACACACAGAGCCCAGGATTGCACAGGCAGAGTTGCAGAGCAGATGCTTAGCTATAGGCATCTACTCCTGAAAACCATGAGAAACTGCACGACATCACAAAGCAGAGTTGATGAATGAGAAGGGACTGAGGCTGAATTTGGAGACTTCACTCAGCCTTCCTCTAGGATGTGCTCCTTGGGTGCAAGGACAGGGAATGCCTGTCAGCTCCCACTGGGCTCAGGAACGAAGACCGAACCAGGCAGGTTGCTGTCGTAGGTCTCCAGAAGGCAAAATAAAGGGTAAGAAAACCCCCCCACCAGATGTGACCCCCAGGTCTGGCTGCAAAGGAAGGGAGGACAAGCAGCCTTCCCTCACCTGCTGGATGCCAAGGCAAAGGTAATAGATGCTGTCTGGTTCGTAGCGCTCTCCATTGGGCCGCGTTATTTCCTTGACAAACTGAGCCAGGCCATAGTTGAGTTCAGCTGCTGTGCAGGCCAGGATGTCTTCTTTGATCCTAATGGGCTTGGCTGTGGAAACAAACACCGCAGCCTCAGACAACATCCTGCAAGGCGAGAAGCACCTCGAGGGGCTGGGATCAGCTGCTGGGAGGTGCCTGCCGCTCCGCCCCGCACAGACAGGACACTTACGGCCAAAGCGCAGCTCCTCTCCCTTGCTGCTCTCTCCCCCTGCATATTTGGCTTGCACCCAGGACTTCCAGGCATTCACACCATAGGAGTAGTTGAGTGCTGTGCAGCTGGGCTGACTGCTCATTGAGTCCCGGGAACAGCTTTCAGAGAGCACCAGGCGCTTCTGTCCCTGCAGAGAGGTGCACTGTGAGATGAGGCATGTACCTGGGACAGATGCAAGATTCCCAGCTGCTCCTCAGACCTGCTGGCAGCTAGTTCCCTCCCAGTGTGCCTGTGCCAATGCCAGCAGGCATCCTTCTGCTGACAGCCAAGCTAACAAGATCCATTAGTTATGAGGACCACAGGCAGGGAAGAGGCCAGCTCTCACACGGCATGTTGCATTCAGGGCTGCTCCATAGTAACAGGAACATATTTCCATTCAGAGAGTGGCCCACAGGCCAGGTATGCTCTGAAGGGAGGGAGTACAGCCTCCCCAGCACACCTCACCTCAGACTGTGTCCCAGATGGCAACTCCCACTTCAAATCCACAAGGCTTTGAGCAGGCAGCACCCACTAACAGCTCACCTTTCGGACAGCACGAGGCAGCTCCTGCTCTGTGGACACATCTTCGGGGC